AAATAGAACTTTCAGGTACATGTGGTGCGAGTCTTGGTGGACTTATTAGGTTCGTTCGTCACCGCTTGTAATATATCTATTTGCACAGGTATGCGGCTGCGTTTGCTCTTCGACAGCGGATGCTGCACTTTGTACAGACGTACGAGCACTATATGATGTTTGAGGTTCTGGAGCCCAGCTGGCATGTTATGGAGAAAAGTCTTAAAACGGTATGATACACAGGCAAAGCTCTCTTCAATTGATAAATTAGTTTATTAGCCATGAAAACGCTTTACTTGGTCTCAGGAAACACTTCTACTTGAGGACACGATAAATGCAAATCGGTGAATCTATCGGCATAGAACTGACAAGTACCGTCATCACTGACTATTATTTTGGCTAGTGCAGGGGTTAGAAGTTTACTTGTGTTAGGGGAGGCGGTGAGGCTATTTTTTTAGGGCCACGGAAAATTTCAAGGTACTCTACAATGCTAACTGCCAGCGGACTCTTGTTCTTATTTTAATCAAAAGGAACTCCAAGTGAAATGCTGTAAAATTCTGAAACTGAACTCTTCTCTAACTTTTCGCCATCATTCTACTGATAGAGTGACTATCCAGTCAATTGAACTACTCTTGCAAAAAACTTCGTTTCTGTTATTTGCCCATAGAGAACTAAGTTTCTACTCATTGTGAAATGTAACTACAAAGTATCCTAGATAAGGAAAGCCCTGAGTGTTTTTTTTTGTTTGTAGTGATTACCTTACCAGAACCTATTAACAGAAAGTTGTGAAACTCGTCAGAAGTGACGCCAGAGTGCATAGTACTCAAGAACTTTTACAAGTCGTTAATAGAGTTCTGCTTTTCTTTTTCTTATTAAGATAAGGCTAGCTCAGGATGTAGCGCGTTTTTATAACTTGAAGTCACTTTTCGTGTGTTGTTTATCTGTTTACACAGGTTACAAATATCGATGGTGTATTAGAAAACCACAACGACTTTTTGGACCGCTGTTTGAAAGACTGTATGCTGACAAATATAGAACTGCTGAAGGTGAGAGCAGCAACGTGATGCAAACGGATTTCACTGCGAGAAAGTAGTAGCATTAAAATTTTTCTTTCATAAGACTAGTTTAAAAGATCGCAAAGCCAGAGCTGCACGACGCTAACCATGATAAGTAACGTGGAAAGTGGGAATGGGGTGGTTTGGAATGCTTGTTTTCCTACAGGTAACATTTACAAATACGTTATCGTTTTGTGACAGGTTGTTAGCAAGTTGATGCTGGTTTGTGTGACATTCACGAATTGTATGCAGGTAATGATGTTATATGTTCTGTGAAGGTGTAGTCTGATCGTCCGGGTGAGTGTAGTCCTGAGAATGACTGTTGTCGGTGGTAGTGACTGACGTTTCGACAACCTGTGCGGACGTCATCATCAGAATCAAGTGAATGATTGTTGTCAGTAGAATGTTCTTATTCCAGTTCGTGTGAAATGATCGGTTTGTTTTGCCGTGATGTTATTGGCTGTAAGACTCAAGAGACGTAAATCGGTCGTGATTGGTCTGTTTCGATCTGTCAGTAAAGTTAGGTCGTTCTTTTTCGGTCGTTTGTGATGTTTATGTCGTGAATGAGTCGTTTGTATGGAGCGGGTAGTTGTTGACATCTGTTTAGGGGAGTCTGTTCTAAGTTAGTAAACCAGCTTTCCAGAGTCAGTCGTTGAAAATAGTCAGTGCTGTAGGTTAGGCATTGCGCAGAGTCCCAGTCAATGTTGTGGTTGGTAAGTCGATGGTGTTCAGCAATGTGATTGCTGACATCACCTTTCCTCGTCGCCCGTCTGTGTTCAGTCAGTCTTGTTGTGAGGTTTCTGCCAGTCTCACCGATGTAGGAGGCTTGGCAGTCGGAACAATTGATCTTATAAATCGTTCCCTGTCTGTTCCTCGGTTCGTCTTTGTCTTTAACGTTGGTTAGTAACTGACGTAGTGTGGTGATGGGTTTGTGGGCGACGCGGATATTGAAGGGTAGTAAGATGCGCGAGATGTTTTCAGACATCATTCTGTATTTGGGGGGATAACACAGTTCCCAGGGGGAATGGAGGAGGGATCAGTGGTCACTAACAGGGTATAAAGGGGGGCCTATAGAAAATTGACCGCCGATGAAGTGAGATTATCACAATACTACAGAGCCAAGGAGGGGAGACAGGTAAATTTCATTGTGACCCAACGAAAATCCTCCGACCCTTCGGCCCCTCTCCCGCTTTGGGCAGAATGGTGAATGGTGTTGTCAGGAGTGGCGCATTTTTGTCATTACATCCGCATTTCTAACTTGTCATTATCAACACTAGGTTGTGTTTGACCATGTTGACCAAATGATCAGTGGAGAGGATTTTGAACGCACCGTTCAGAACTTCGACAATAATTTTTCTCGTCATTTGATGGATTTATTGGAGAAACTTAGCCATTACTCTACTACAGACTGTGAACATCAGATGCTGAATATCATCGCCCGGCTGGATCACAATGGATACTACACGGCGCAATTAGAGAAATATGTTGCCGAAGGTAAACCCAGAAAGTCCGGCCATTTTTTCATTTAAAACCTACGACTGTAGTTTCACTAAGATACTCTGTGTTTTGTTGAGACAGCTGAATAAAAACTAGCCATTCTTACATTTCCTCTTCATCATTTTTTTTTTTCCATTTGCTAGAATCCAGTGCCCTTAATGGATCCTCGGACCCAAAGACTGAGACCAAGTCTTCCTCGTCACTACTTTCAGCCTCAGTTGATAATCTAGCGGATGTTCCTGCTCATTTACGTTCGGCAGTTCCTCTGGATCAGTTGCAAAACGGCCAGAGCTACTAAGCTAAGCCTACGTCTTTACCTGACTTGTCGGACGCAAGAGGAAAGAAGAAGTAGAGAAAATTTCGTGTGTATTATAGGGGGTGGGGGAAGGGGATAAATTCTGCTTTGTCCCGTGAAGAGTATCAGCAATTAGCGGGTATTAGATAAACATAGGCAATTGAATGATATTGATAGTGGTACCATGTAGTTGTACCCTCAGTGCAGTTGAAGGTTAAAATAGTGATGCCATCTCCTACAAAGCCTTTTGCCCTGTTTACCAAGGCAACGCACTGTCCATCAGAAAGCAGTTTCGCGCTTTACTATAAAGAGAAACTCGGGAATAATCGTGATCCAGCAGCCCTATAATTCAAATATTTTTTAAATTAGGTTTTGTATTCGGTCTTTGCCTTCAAAAGAAACGTCCGTGGGTCGAAAAGAAAGGAAAATACCGTATTGATAGCCTGGAGTACATCACTTTGTTACATCTTTGTATGGCATTATGTTACACTATGAGCCACTATTTTCCATACAGTTTTGTACATAGCTCTTGGATAAAAAGTGCGTTAAGGTTAACATTAAAATAAACTCTTTCAAAATTGGTACTTGCTTGTGTGTAGTCTATCAAAGATGCTCTCCAGGGAAATGTATCAAATTTCAAAATCATCGCGCGAGGAGCTATATTATCCTAAGCGATGAATATTTTCGAACTTTTGCAGTCAAGCGTCAGGGTTAAAAACATGTCTAGCAAGTGTTTTATCTTTAACAAATCAACAGTTGTTTAGCGTGGCGTGTACTCTTATCGACATCGCTATTCGATGTCATCACAGTGGTCAAAATGTTGTGGACTCACGAGGGGCAGCCAAGTGAGTCCGCAACATTACTTTGTAATTCGTGGAAAAAAATCTCTTCGCAGAGAGACCTATATAGTAGGGTCGGTGGCTTATTACGGTTTATAGCGTGGAAGGCAATATTAAATGCTGATTGGCCACGACAGAGGGCATTTTTCATCACTTTTGGTAATTGTTCCGACCTGTCGACAACTACCGAAATTATTGAAAAATGCCTTCTGCCTCAGCCAGTCAGCATTTAGTAATTTTGTCCTCTGTTATAAGTACAGGTAATCGCATGGGACCGAGTAAATCAAGGAGTTTTCGGAAGTTGCAGTTTCTGCAATTTCTGAAAACACGCGTGAAATTGATCCTAAATTTTACTCGGCCCCATGCGATTACCTTTACTCATCACATTGGGAAAATATCGCAATTACCTTTCGCGAGGTACTAATTACCTATCTTTGTTAAGAAAATCACAAGTATAAGCAATGGCTGTTATCTTGGAAATATCATACTTTGTACTGCATGGGCAATAGCTATTATTAATTCTTTTAAAGAAGGTCACAAATAGACTTACCTTGTATGTTACTTGCTTTACTTTTTACTAACCTGTCATACGCGATAATCGACATGTTTACCGCGTACGAATCTAGTGATGTCCATGGGGACGAAAAGACTGCATGCCAAACGGACAACGCTCCACTTTGATGTTAGTATCGAACAGTGCTTTTGAAGTCCTTACTCAGACATATTTCAATGCTGACCATCTGATTGTTTTCGGTGAAGTCAATTCAATGTCTTCGTAGTGTTGTCGGGAGCGAACACCGCCCAAGCGATAAAGATTTCTTTTTACTTTATTGCCGATTCACAGACTGTAGGTCTGTTTCTTTGGGCGAAATGACTTTAAATAAAGGGCTGAAATCAGGGGCGAGATGACTTTTGGGCGACTTGACCGTTTATCCTGAATGAGACTAAGGGCTCACGTTGTCCCCTAATTCCCTGTGCAAAGCCAAATGCAACATGGCGAGGGCGAAGGATTCAAGGGCCTCCAAAGTTTCAGACCATTTGGCTGAATTTGTTGGTACTGAAATTACTTGCCCTGTTTGTTTGCAAGTATTTGATGATCCTAAGTGCCTTCCCAACTGTGACACAATGTTTGCGTCACATGCCTTCGAAATTTAGCCAAACAAAACCACAGGGAACTCATGGTGGAGTGTCGTGAATGTCGCACCAAGTCGACAGTCCCATCGTCTGGAGTTACTGATTTCCCTACGAACCGCTTGCTAAAACGGCTCATAGAGAGTTCTCCTGAAGACAGGGAAAGACGTGCTTTTGAAGAAGCCCTTGAATGTTACAGAGAACAAAAGGGAAAGATTAAAAAAGAGTTACAAACACTCACAACCATTCCGAGGAATCTGTTGTTTGAAGAGAGTGAAAGGTGAATGAAAGATCGAATAAAAATGGAAGGTAAACGTGTAAAGAAAATAATTGAGGAAGATGAGAGAAAGTTCTTGTCTCAAGATGATGAGATCTACGGTGAAAAGCCTAACTATAGTAAGTTTGAAACGAAACACGGAGAGGTCAAACAGGTTTATCCTAAAGTTTCAAAGTCCCTGGAAGGTGTTGACAAAGTAAAAGAGGAGCACGATTGGAAGAAGTTTCAGAAATCAAGAAAGATCTTTGAAAAACAGTTTCAAGATGGTCTCAAGGCTTTGGAAGCCTCAGTTGGAAACTTGCGTGGTATTAAGCGGGCAGCATCTGCCAAACTTACTGCAGGAAACGTGGAAAAATCTCGCAAAATCCTGGGGGTAGTTTCTTGTTATCAACCTGAGAAAGCCACTTCTAAACCAGCAATTGCATCTGGCGATGGTGAAGTCGTTCATCTTATTGACACTAACTTTTTTCCAACAGCACTATCTGTTTCTTCACATACAGGTGAGATTGCAGAAAACAACCGTGTCATGACATTTTCACTGCTGCTGGGGATCACCTAAAGGAATTTTGTCCTGCCGCTATCTTGAGACAGAAAAATCCTGGGGACGAGGTAGTTCAGTAACTTTTCCCACGATTCTTTGCAAGCCAAATGCAAGATGGCGAAGGCGAAGGCGAAGGATGCAAAGGGCTCCGAAGATTCAGAGCATTTGGCTGAATTTGTTGGTACTGAAATAACTTGCCCTGTTTGTTTGGAAGTATATGATGATCCTAAGTGCCTTCCCAACTGTGCGCACAATGTTTGCGTCACATGCCTCAGAAACTTAGCCAAACGAAACCGCAAGAAAGGTACATATATGGTAGAGTGTCCAGAATGTCGCACGAAGTCGACAGTTCCATCGTCTGGAGTTACTGCTTTCCCCACAAACCACTTACTAAAGCGGCTCATAGAGAACTCCCCTGAATATAGGGCAAGGCGTGCTTTTGAAGAGGCCCTTAAATATTACAGAGAACAAAAGGAAAAGATTGAGGAAGAGTTACACGCACTCACAACCATTCCAAGGAATGTGTTGTCTGAAGAGAGCAAGAAGAGATTAAAAGATCAAATAAAATCAGAAGCTAAACGCGTGAAGAAAAAAATCGAGGAAGAAGAGAGAAAGCTCTTGTCTCAAGTAGATGAGATCTACAGTGAAAAGTCTTACCAAAGTCAGTTTGAAATGAAACACAGAGAGGTCAACCAGCTGTATGCTAAAGTTTCAAAGGCCCTGGAAGGTGTTGACAAAGTTAAAGAAGAGCACGACTGGGAGAAGTTTCAGAAATCAAAAGAGATCTTTGAAAAACAGTTTCAAGATAGTCTCAAAGTTTTAGAGGCCTCAGTCAATAACTTGCGTAGTATGAAAGGGAAAGCTATCAATCAGGCAGCAACTGCCAAATTTACTGCAGGAAGGGTGGACAAATCTAGCAAAATCCTGGGGGTAATTTCTTGTGATCCACCTGAAAAAGCCACTTCTAAATCAGAAACTACATATGGTGATGGTGAAGTCATTCGTCATATTGACACTGACTTTATTCCAAAAGCAGTATCTGTTTCTCCACATACAGGTGAGATTGCAGTTCTGGATGCAGAAAACAACCGTGTTCATATTTTCACTGCTGCTGGGGATCACCAAAAGGAATTTGATGTCAAATATGGTGATCTTAAGGAAATTGCTTACTCTAAGAATGATGACATTGTAGTTCTAAACCAAGAGAAGAATCGCCTTTTACACTTTGACAAGGATGGTGCTTTCATACGCAAGTTTGTCAAGTCTCCTAATAGCTCTGTGAGGTTTCAGAAGTTAACAACAGGTGTGGATGGCCATTATGTGCTTACAACATTGACTGAAGATGGACCTGGTATTTTAATGTATGATTCTGAAAGATGCCATAAGCTAGCATTCACATCAAGTCACTTTCAAGGCAACAAATTGGCTGCAGTGCATCACAAAGATAAGTATTATGTCACTGACCACAGCAGCACAATCAAGATCTTTGACAAGAAAGGCAAATTTCTTCAAGAAACAAAGAGTCTTGGAGGTAGTGCGGCAAATCCCTCCAAGCTTTACTCACTGGCTGTGGATGATGCACACGACTGCCTTGTATGCATTTCCAAGCAGAGCAACCAGAACACAATCCTTGCCGTGAAAACTGATGGCAATATTGTGTCCAAGGCTCCAATAGGTGGTAGTCTCAATTCCATTGCAATGTCCAAAGGATCCAACAGTTTGGTGGCAACTTTTCATATGAAGAAGTTCATTCAAATTTTACCTCACAAAGTTTGATGCCAATTTTTCACAACTTTATTACTTTGACAGTGCAATACTGTTATTACTATCAGAGAGTGCTTTAAAATGGTTTTTGTAACACTGGACACATTATATTACCCTTGTTGAGGGAGTTAGCCAACAGGGAGTTCATGTGATCACTGTAATCACTGCAAAACTTATTCTATGTGTTGAAACTTTGTTCTGTTTGTTAGCTGCTTTCTGAAATGAGGGTTATATTAATTTTGTTTCCTTAGTTTATGGCTGTATAGGTAGTTACTCTGTAATGTTATTGTTAGGCAGCAGAAAAAAAAAATCACTCTTTGGATAACAGAGAGGTACCCTAATATGGTTAGGATTACTTTTCAGGACAACAGGACCTCTCTCTTACAGCCCTTTACCATTCAAGTTTAAATAAGCCTAAGTGATAAATGTTTCCTGATTGGTTTTGATCAGTTTGATTTATAGTTATGTCATACTAATGTCATGTTCTCAATTGATGAGGACATGAACTTTGAAATTCAAACTTTGTCCACATTAACATAGTTTTAACATAGTTATATATATGTAGGTATATATATATAATATTTCATTTTAATAGTTTTGATAGTTTTATATTTGCTGCACATTTATTAATACCAGCAGTTAGACTGTAAAGGGTGATATGTTAGGTGGTACAATAATTACTGTTTATTACCAGAATGCTGGACTGATTATAATGATTGTGGATTTAACTCAATCAGGCACATCTTGAAGAACTTGTAATGCTTTTTTTTTTAAACTAGATGTAAAGCTAAACAAAATTTGTTGTCTAGAAAAAATTATCTCAATGTAAGTAACCAACCAAACTTATCAAATTATAAATGAAATCGAGATAACTTCACTTGTTTTACTTTTAAAGCTGTCCAATGGACAGGTCATTGGAATAAAAGAAATGATCACTAACTTGAGATGCTCTGCATTTTAGGTACAGTACAAAATGTGTAGAGAACAGTAAAAAGAATAAGCTTACCGTGCTTAGGGCTTAAAGGATTAGTGTAAAACTGGAGGGGATTGGCAAATTTGCACCTCCGTTTCATGAGAATCATGCTCTTTCCCAGTCAATCAGAACAGTAATAATTTCATGCATATTACTTAAGTTTTCACAGTTTTTTGGGGGGCAGATTGTTGTTTGAAGTAAATGATCATGTGTTATGCGACATGTGGATCTGGTGCGCAGCAGTGAGAAGAGAAATTTAACAAGTAAAGGCGCTTAAAAAGCCGCAGCTCTAGAAATCAAGATCGTGTCAAGCGAGCCCTTTTCTCCAAGTCTTTTTCCCCCTTACTGTTAAATTTTTCATCTCTTCAATAATCCTGACCATTTAAGGTAGCTCAACATGGTTTTAAAAAAACCTGCGGATGCGGTTCAGAGGCACCTTAAATTATTGAAATAAGATTTCTGGGAAATCTTGGGCATTTTTTATACCATTTTCCAGGTAAAAAAAGTAAGACGTGTGGAAACTGCGATCTCTCCAAAAATTCGTCTATCAAAATGAAAGAACTTTCCCATATTGTCTCTGTCGAATTTGACACTTAAGGGAGCGAATCCGCGCAAAATCCTTGAAGGCGGAAGATACTGGAAACTAAAGAAAATGTTAACAGGGCGGCATAGTCTTGTTTGGGACTTTTTACCTTTATCTTACCATCAAATAGAGGTGAATGCGATGTTTTGAATTAGTTAACTTTATTTGCGTTTTCCAAGAAGCCCTGACCTTGTTTGATGACACTGAATGAAGGGATCTATTTTAAAACACTGAATAAATTACTAATGTTACATAACGTGGTAAGTTCTTGAAATTATCCCGTACAATCATTTTTACAGGAGACTACAATTGGTAAAAGTTTCTTCTTTTTTCTCCGTCTTCACATCATTGGTGTCCTCATTCCTTTCGTTTCATTTTTTCTTGCCTGATATGTAATATAGGAAACACTCCCATGATGTGAAAACTGGAAAGGCCGTTCCCTGACGGAGGAGGGCACATCTTTAATTAGTCCGATCCTAGCATAAGTACATGTACTTCTGAACAAATTTTGATTTTTTGAGGTCCGGCGATTTTAATATCTATTATTTCGTGTAGGCTGAATTACTGGACCGGAAGTTCGTGCAGTTGTCATCATATCATTGTTTTCAAAATCTAAATCTAAATGGAAAAGGCTTAATATGTTAGGCGTGGCTCCCTGAGCTCGATGTGCCTCTTTTTTTTTTTTATTTTTTTGATGGTAAAAAGAAAAAAGAAGTAGGTATAAAAAAAAAAAAAAAAAAAAAAAAAAAAAAAAACGAGGGGTAAAAAACTCGCAAGCCGACGCTTTTTTTTTTTTCTCGCTCCTCCTTTTGTGCGTGTATCATCCCCTCGCGCTTTTTCGCGCGCACATGATCGGCGCTTCCTTCACTCGCCTAAAAGCACAAAACGATATCAGTTCCATAAGCTTAAGTGCCACAATTAACAGAATTTTCTCCTAATTAGTCTTGAACAGGAACCCTGAGAGAATAGATCTTTCCTGCAGAGGGTAGGCCTAAGCTTTTTCTGCAAAGGAGAGTAAGCAGGCGTTGTTTGAATTTTTTTCTTCACAGAAAAATAACACTGCTTCATTATCATTTTCGAATTATTTTTAAGTTCACCCCTACCACGAGAGAATTACAAAAATATTTTCATTCATTCACACAATTTCAATTGAGGCTCTCGATATTTCTTTATCTAATTTCATGAATTGTTTAAATCAATTGGACCGTTTAATTTGAATCACACGGTTCTTACAGCCATTTTTTTAGCCCATTATTAGAGTATTTTCCGGGTGACATTAGAGTATTTTCCGAGAGTTGAATCGGGTGAAGCGCCGCGCTGCGTATGACTATAATAATTGTGACGTTGAAGTCGCAGCTCCCGAGGGAGCCATTGACATTGTTTAATGAGTTTTAGCAGCCTTGTATATAGGGTTCTAGATTTGCCATTCACCTTTCTCTTTTCTGTATAGTTTTAGATATGCTTTTACTTATCAGATTATTAGACTTTTCCGAGTGACATAACAGTTTCTAGAATGAAATTCATACAAATTTTTGCTACGTCACAGGCGAATTCGCCAGTCACAATGCCTTTCATTCTCTGTTGATTCTTAATCAGTTGAATTAGCGTGCGAACAAAACTCCGCGAAAAATCCGTGACGTAACGACTGACAATTGGCTGCAGCTGCTATTCCATATTCATCAGCAATTGTAGAATTTTTCAGCAAACCACGCTGTCTGTCGAAGAGTAAAGACGTGCCGTCAAATTGCTGAAGACTAAGTTGAAATCTGGAAGGAAGAAGCTACATGACCTGTAAAGAAGAGCAAAGATCACCAGTCTTCTGTCTTTCGAGCAGCAGGTGAGCATTTCCTTTGAAAAATATTGCCTTAAAGTCCTCGAGAGAGCTAAACGAGTCGGTTGCTTGATGTGAGCTTCTCTGAAATCGACGTTCGACTGAATTAGGGTGTTGGCTTTAGGCAAATAAAACACTTCTGCTTCTCCAACATTTTTACAGAAACGCTCCGCTAAAGATTTTTTTAGCTTATAAAATCTATTGGTGTCTTTATTTTGTACTTTAAAGCAACCACGTGGAGGTGAGATGACTCTCCTACCCAGCAGTCTTTGCCTCATTGTAAAAGTCATGCGATGAGATCATAAAGAAATTTAAGTTGTAAGGTCGTCCGACGAAATTAAGCATTCCCTGATCACGTTTACAAACTCCACTTTCAGGAGGAGCTATGTCAAATGGATGGTTGAACAAAGATACTGGTGCATCAAGAGGAGACAATGGAATCACTAAGTTTTAGTGGATACTGCAAAGAGAAGAACTTTGACATTATTGAGCAATAGTAGCAAAAATGGTGGCTCTTAACATTGTCTTATAATTGCACGAAGTCGTCGTTTTATTTACCAATTGTCAGGGAATGGGAAAAAACTGGTTACCTGGTGAGTGATTACTTCTAATTGGCCACGATTTTTGAAATAATTTGTTGCGGTACTGATTGTTATGCAGAATTTGAGCAATACCTTGATTGATTTGAAGTTCTCTTCATGATTCGGTGCAATTTATCTTAGACAATTTCATTACATTAATTTAACAAAAGTACGATTAAAATTTGGTGATGCAAAGCTAGCCACAGAAATGTGAAACCAAAATTGCTAATTCGCAAGTGTTGATAGCTCAATTTTGCTTAACATTCAGCGAGTATCGCACCTATATTGATGTCGCATAAAGGTAATTAAGGTTAAGGTGGCACTTCGACAGAAGATCTCGGACGAAGACCAATTAAATGAAATTCAAACTTTGAAATTTTTTTGTCGTGTTAAATGAATCTTACCAGCTGAATTTTGTTTAAAAATCAAATTGCTGAACACCAGCGACTTACAGACCACACTACTGACTGCTATGCTGTTTGTTGTCAAACCTACACTGCCAAAAATATCTTAAATGACCGAATTTGAAAAGCCAGTTTAGAAACCTGGACACGATTCCAACAGCTACTTCATTCCAAAACGAAACTTGTAACGTTCGACTTACAAACAACTCTTTGACTTGACTTTGATAATGAATTCTGCTCGGGCCATTTACTAATTTCGACAACCGAGACTCTTTCAGGACTGCTCGCACCAAGACAAACGCACTACACTGTTGACTACAGACTGCAACCAATTAATAGATAAATTTGATTAAAAACGTATTGACTCGATTGAAAATTTATTCTCGCATGTTCTGAATTGAACAGGAAATTCAGTAGCTTTTGTTCAAAAAGGAAGTATTTGTTTTTCATACATGAAACAAAAACTACCCAAGTGCCAACTTATTTAATACTTTGTGTCATCAGCTGAATTCGATTTCAGTTTGGGGGTTTTATGTTTTAAAACTCTAATGCCTGGTCACCAGCTCTTTCGAGAAACTGATTACGTTCGCACTTGTCTTTATATAAACCAGTTTAAATTGACTTATTTTCAACGAAGAAATATCTATTTTCATATTTCAGTAAGAGTTTATTCGGATAGGAAAAGAGATGGTAACTGTTTTTGTAATCTTTGAACAACAGTTACAAATTAGACGAAAATGAACTTGAACATAAAAGCAAAGTTCTTGCCAAATGAACAATTGATGCGACCATTAATAGACATTAGTCGCTGAGAAATGGCTCAATTGTTTCACACGATCAAGAAGATTATGGAATTAGATTTTTATTTGTTAGAAATGAGATTTGAAATTTTGGCTCGTAATTTCTCCAGACAAACGTCGTCAGTTATTTTGGTTTTGTTGTTAGATGCTTTCACGTACTGCTGACGAGAAAATGGGAATTCATTCATTCTGAACATACCGTAAACTGCCATATAAGCCGCCTTCGATTATAGGCCAATCTACCTGAAAACCTAAAATAAAAACCCCTCCTGGCTATGCCCTCCCCTCCCCCCCTCTTATTTGTTTGGGAACACAGTTTAAAATATTCCGTGCTTGTTCAGTCTATTTCTTATTTCAAATATAGGTACAGTTGGCCAGAATTAATATATATATATATATATATTAATTGTTTAGGAGATAGCAACTCTGTACTACCTTGACCAAAAACAACTTGGAAAATATTACTTCTTATCAAAGACGAACCTCAGGGAAAAGTCTGAACTTCCGTTGTGTTAGATATGTGATTTATTATGACGTTTTAAGACCGAATCAGAAACACGTAAATGCAAACCTATTTTGATCAGCAGTTTATTTCGAAGTGCTTTTTCTTTTCCGGTCAAAGCCCCCGGCTTATAAGAAGCAGTTTAGGGTATTTGTCACCTTAATTTTTCGAAAACGAAATGCGAACCAGAAAAGTAATTGTGTCGAAATTTTAG